CGGTCCCTGTGCTTTGCCAAGCTTATTCCAAGTAGGTGCTTTAGACCACTGAGCCATCTCACCAGCCCCCTGAACTGCTTATTGTGACCCTGTCTACAAACAAAACAAGTGGGTGTGGTGGCCTCTGGTGGCACACCTTGTAGTCCTAGCAATCAGAAGGCTGAGACAGAAGATTTGTAAGTTTCGGGGCACCCTGGACTACAAAGTGAGCTCAAGGCTGGCCTGAACTGCATAGCAGACACTCTCTCAAAATTCGCAGTAATCATCTCAGAAATCTATCTCCTTGCTAGATGGTCTTACAAAGTTTTTGGTCCTAGAACTTGAATATGGTGTCAGTCAGATAGCTCAGCAGATTAAAGCACCTGCTTATGCAGACACAGGGACTAGGGCCGGGTCCCTGGCATAGCATGCCGGCCCCACCACCAGGGCACGCTGAAACAGCGATACAGACTGGGGGTGGTGGCATGCACCTATAATCCCAGTGCTTGGGAAGCTGAAAACAGGAGGATCACTGAGTCCAGTCTGTGTAGTGAGACCCTATAACCCTGTACTAAATGTAATATATATATATATACTTGAACATGGACCTTCACTCCATCAGTTACAGATCGGTGCCAACGAGAAGACCTAATGAATGTAGCTTCAGAGGTCTCACTGAGATTCGTCTCTCTCCAAGTGAGCCCAGAGCCTCAGAAGCATCTCACATTTATTGAGGGGTAAAGGCAGACTAAGAAATGTACATAATTACCTAAATGAATACAAACTACTGTCTCTATTAACTTCCACCATTTGCCTAACACTAGGCTCACACAAATGCTAGCTGATAACATCCGAAACAAGGGATCAAAGGACAGAGTGCCTGCAGGGGAAGCTGTTATCTGCTGCATTGGGTCTCAGCTTGCCGGGAATTTGCAAACAGCCAGCAACTCTCCTCGGGCTCTGTCTGTTGTTCCCTGCTCTCTTGGGACATCAGGCTTTTGTCTCAAATCTGTATTTCTATACTCAGTTATGTGATTTTCATGTTAGATTGCATTCTGCAGCTCTTCTGAAGAAAACTGAATCCAACCCAAACCTTTATGAAAGCTAGTCTTTTTGTTAAAAGGAACAGTGCACTTTTTGTATATGGCCAAACTGAGCAAAGTATTCGCTAAGCTCATTTGATGCTGCAGTCCAGAGAATTTTCCTGACAAAAGCAACTGGCTGGTTAACACTGTACACAATGCCATAACACCCCCTCACTACAGAAGCTGCCATCTTTAGCCTAAAAGGGCTGGGCAACTATATTTCTTTTTAATTACTACCCAGTGGTGGCTCCTGTATCCAGACATGTTGAGTGTAGGGCTTCTTCTGGAGGGGAAGGACAAGCTTCCAGCCCACAGACTCATTTCCTTGGAGACCTGGGGCCCTTTGGTTGTAGGAGATGCAAACTATTGGCCTTTTGAGGGAAATGGGGTAGAAGTTGAGGATACAGCAGGCTAGACAGGACTTTATAGATTCTCACATGTAACAGATTGAGAAACTGAGGTGCCTGGTAGAAAAATTGCTTAAGATTACACTCAAAATGTTAAAGCAAAAAAAATGTTAAAGCAAAGACACCTTGAAGCCAAAGTGTGTTTTCCCTTTGAATTGTGGGGACTGGGGCTCCCCTATGGCTTCGTCAGTTTTCACAGTGATGGGAGATCAGATGTCAGCCTCAGGTCTCACCTGGATCTTGCTTTTTCTTTCTCAGTTCATCTCAAAGAAGAATCCTGAGGACATCAAAGAGGTGAGACTGCTGGGAGGGAGGGAGACTGTCCCTCAATTTCAGATCTGGAAACAGGAATGGAGCAGCTGGTACCTGGGAGAACCCCCCACGCCGCTGGTGCCCTCTTCTCACAGACCTGGCACAGCTGGACACGGCAAGTTTCTTCCCACCTTCCGGCCTCACATCCCCATAGGTGGTGGTCTGGAAGCGATACAGTGACTTCCGCAAGCTGCATGGGGACCTGGCCTATACCCACCGCAACCTCTTTCGACGGCTTGAGGAGTTCCCAGCCTTCCCCCGTGCCCAGGTGTTTGGTGAGTATCAGAGCTGATCCCTCAGCCTCAAGATGAGGGAGAGGTGGGCACAGGGACCTTGGTCAGTGGGGGCTGGAGAAAGAGGGCTAGGAACTCTGGACAGAGCCACCTTGTGCAGAGATCTGGACAGGCCCTCAAAGATGGGTATGTTTGATACATAGGGACCCTGAGGCTCCAAGTAGCCTAGCCCTTTTTGTATGGTAGGGCCTTGGTTTATTTTGAAGACCAGAAGTTTATTCTGGTCTTCAGTCTTCTGGCAGACCTGAGAGGTGAAAGGTATCACATGGCCACCAGAGGCAGGGGACAGATGAGAAACCTCTCCAGACTAACTTATAGCGTACCCATTCTCAAAATAACCCTTAACCTTAAGTCCTGGAATTGCATGAGTCCCAGACCAACATGAGATGGTTTTGAAGCAAGGTGAATGGTTGCAGCGGCCAGTTGATGCCAAGCCAGGGGACAGCAGGCTCTTCACCCTGGCAGCACCAGTGACTAAGGTAGGGTTCGAGATCTCTGCACAGCACCTAGAACTGAGCAGTGAAACTGCTGCCTGCTGTGTGACCTCAGGCAAGTCACTTCCCCCCTCAGCCTTTCTTTCCTCAGCATTGTATCAAAGCCAAAAGAAGTGATTTTTGCTTCTTGTTGATTACCTGTCGCCCCTGCCTATCACTTGAAATCCTTGAGGGCAGGAGCCACGCTTCTATCTTACATATCCCTGAACTCAGCACAGCAGTATTCAGTAAACTCCTGTGAAAAGAATGCGTAAGGAGGTGGCTCCCTCCAGGAGGAGCCCAGAAAGGCTGTGGGGAGAAGAGGAGACCAGTAGTTGCCCACAGTTTCCCAAGCCCAAGCACGACAACAGGCTTCAGAGCCAGAAGTCCCTGTGTTCACTGTTGCTCTGCCCGCCTGCTTGTCCTGGGTGGCTGTAGGCCGGTTCGAGGCCTCAGTGATTGAGGAGCGGCGAAAGGCAGCTGAGGACCTGCTTCGCTTCACTGTGCACATCCCTGCGCTCAACAACAGCCCCCAACTCAAAGAGTTCTTCCGGGTATGTGTGCCACTCTTCCATCCCTCCAAGCCTAGAAAGCCTGCCTGCCACCCCTCACTCTCCTCTGACCTTTCTCTCCTGCAGGGTGGGGAGGTGACATGGCCCTCCGAGGTCTCCAGGGACTTGCACATCCTGCCACCCCCTCTGATCCCCACACCACCCCCTGATGATCCCCGACTCCCTCAACCACTCCCTGCAGAAAGGAGGGGCCTGGAGGAGTTGGAAGTGCCAGGTACATAGGAGCTGGGGAGGGACCCAGGACTGGGGAATCCCAGGTGGGATGTGGAGGTCACACTCCTTCCTGTGATCTTAATGAAAAGCTTGGGCTTAGCTGTGCCATTTCCCCACTGAAGAACTTTAAATGGGTTGGTTTTCCCTCTTGGAGCTTTAGTTTATCTGTAAAATGGACACACATCCTAATAATAGGCTTGTTCTTCACCTATGGTTGCTGAAGGACTCATTGAGAAGGCAGCTTCAGTTTAAAAGTTGGGAAGTGTGGCACTGATGTCCCCACTGTTCTCTCCTCAGCGGACCCCCCACCATCCAGCCCTGCACAGGAGGCCCTGGATCTCCTCTTTAGCTGTGGCGGCGCAGAAGAGGTGTCAGGCACCCCTTCTAGGGGTCCCCTCTCTGAGGCCGAGCTTGCCCTGTTTGACCCCTTCTCCAAGGAAGGTAAACAGTGGAGGAGGTCACAGCAGGGGCTGGGGCCGGGGCTCCCTGGGGCCAGGGAGGGAGGCTGTGCCCCCAGCCCGCCTGGATGGCACCTGTGTAAATCTGAGAAAGGTGCCCCAGGCTGTACTCCTTGCGGGGAGTGGCAGCCTCAGTGAGCATTTGGAGTTCATTTCCAGGTGCCACAGCCCCACCCCAGGGCTGGTGGTCTGGCGAGCTGGATGCTCCTGTATGGTGAGAGTAGTGGAGGAAGGAACTACAGTTTCCTGTGATGGGCCCCTCCTCTGAAAACGCTGTGGGGGAACAGGCCCACATTGCTCTGGGGGGTGTTTCAGCTACAGCCATGGGAAGCCCCTCTGGAGACCTGGAGCTACTGCTGGCCTGGAGGTCATCAGAGACAGAAAGGCTCCCCGTGTGGATATGGGTCCTTTTTTCTTTCTTTCTGTCTGTCTGTCTGTCTGTCTGTTTCTTTCTTTCTTTCTTTCTTTCTTTCTTTCTTTCTTTCTTTCTTTCTTTCTTTCTTTTTCTTTCTTTTTTGTGGAACCAGGGATTGAACTCAGACCCTTGCATTTGCCAGGAAATGGATATGAGTCCTCCTTCTTGTACTTTCTTTCTCTCGGACCACTGACCTGACAGTCCCCAGAGCAGAGACACTGGGATTTTTCAGTCTCAGACTCATCAAGTATATGCTCTTACTGCGCCCAGAATCTGACATCCCTTTAAGAGAATCATGAAACAGTTACTTTTTTGATTCTTCCAGAGTGTTTTTAGCCCTTTTTGTTAGCTTCTCTTCTTTGCCCAGAAAACCCTAGGCCTGCTGATCAGTTTCAGGAATCTGAAGTTTCACAAGGGTGAAAAAGGCCTGGGAAGTCCAAGTCAGGATGTCAGCATCTCACCACGCCTGCAGCCTCACATCTCAGGCCGGACCGTGGCCCAGCTCCTGGCCTGGTGACCAGGGTAGGAGGGCAGCCTTTTACCCAGGGGTTTCTGTGTGCCTGGGAAGCATTCTGTCACTGGGTTACACCCCCAGACCTCTTTTCTTTCTTTCTTTTTTTTTTTTGGTGGAACCGGGGGTTGAACTCAGGCCCTTGGACTTGCCAGGGAAGCGCTTATTCCACTGAGCCATCTCCCCAGCCCCCTTTTTTTAAATTTTTTTTTTGACTGGGGAGATGGCTCAGTGGAATAAGCGCTTCCCTGGCAAGTGCAAGGGCCTGAGTTCAATCCCCGGTTCCGCCAAAAAAAAAATAATAAAAAAAAAAAAAAATTTTTTTTTTTGAGACAGTCCCATTAAGTAGTCCGTGCTGGCTTCAAATTCATGGGCTCAAATGATCCTTCTGCCTGAGCCCCCTGAGTAGCTGGGACTGCAGATACAGCACCACATCCTGTACCTGCGTTTCTTTTTCATTCTTACCATCATCCTCAATCTTCCTCTCCCCCCCTCCCCTCCCCTTTCCTCTCTTCTTCCCCCTCTTCCTCCTCCTCCTCCTCCTCCTCTTCCCCCTCTTTTTTATTCTTCCTTCCTCTGCCGCTTCCTCTGTGTGGGGATGGAATCCAGGGACGCATCAAGGCAAGCACTGCACTCCTGAGCGCCACTGCCAGTCCCTGACTAGTTCTCTTGCTCTGCTTCTTTCCCTCCTTCCTGTGCAGGGTTGATGAGGAGAAGGTGGCTTTGGAGGTGGTATCACTGGGCTGTTATACCTGACCTCTGAGTGACAGCTATCCAGATACTTGGTCCTTGCCCAGCTGAGCCCCCAGGGGACCCAATGGGGAGCTGCTTGGGGGGAGTTTTGTAGGACCCTCCCAGGCAGCACCCAGGAGTCATTTACAGTACCCCTCGTGGAAAAACTGCCAGGCCCTTGTCCCCTCTGTTGGCAGTCAGTGTGCAGAGAGACATAAGCTCCTGCACTTAGGTAGTCAGTCTGCTCGTTGTCCCTGAGCAACACAGGGAGGACTTAGACCCAGTTGGGAAGGGAGGCCCCTCGTAGCACTCCCCACTTGATAGACCTGGAGAGGATGCCCACCCTCTCCCTCTCCAGGATGGGCTGCCGTGGTACACTCTGCTCCGGTACCTTTTGCAAAAGCCCTCTTCACCAGAAACCCAGTCTTTTCTGCCAGAAGATGTCAGGGCACCTCTAGGCCAGCCTGGGAATGAGCCCCTTATTTGGGATTCTTGGGTGAAAGCACAAGATCTCAAAAAAGCTGGGTGTAGCTCAGTGGTAGAGCTTTTACTTAGCATTTGTGAGGCCCTAGGTTCCATCCCCAGCACTATTTAAAAAAAAAAAAAGCACTGAGATTCTTTGAATTCGTTATTCTGAGATGATTCCAAGGCTTGGCACATTTCTGTCTTTAGCACTGTTGGCGGTTTACCATCCTTAAGTTGAACCCTGCAATGAAAATTATTGGATGTCCAGACCAACTGGAGTTGAAAAAGGATTAAGAGCACTGACCCAGACCTAAAAAACTAAAGAGAATTCTTACCCAAAGAACTAATTAGGGGGCCGAGGAGATAGATCAGTACGATAAGCACTTTCCTGGCAAGCGCAAGGGCCTGAGTTCAATACCTGGTTCCACAAAAAAAAAAAAAAAAAAAAAAGAACTAATTAGGAATGTAGGGCTGAATTTGCAAAAGTACTTGGACTTTACCAACCAAAAAGGGTGAACTAGTTTGCTGTGCAAGGGTGACTTCTGGATTGTCCAAGCTTTGCTCCCTTCCACTGGGGACAGGCCGGTCTCCTGATGGGCGAGAAAAGTCTGGGGGTTGGAGTGGACTCAGGGAAAGGAAGAGCCTGTCTAGTCTGAAGTCTTCCCTGTCTGATTACAGAAGGTACAGGCCCCAGCCCCACCCATGTAGGTGAACTGGCAGCCATGGAAGTGGAGTCCAAAAGCCTGGACCAGGAACCCTGGGAGCCAGGAGGACAGGAAGAAGAAGAGGAAGGAGGGCCCACCCCTGCCTATCTGAGTCAGGCCACGGAGCGCATCACTCAGGCTCTTCGGGATGAGAAGACAGGCGCCTACCCTGCTGCCCTCCAAGCTTACCGAGAGGGTGTGCACATCCTGCTGCAGGGGGTGCCCAGTAAGTGGGGACCACAGGGCAGAAGGGCAGGTCTGAGTCCAGATTGTGTGGGGAAGGAAAATAAAAAGCAGTTACTGCCCCAGGAGCCCCTGCTTCTCACTCACCAGCCACATAACCTCGGGGGATTTTTTTTAACTTCTTTCTGCCTCAGTGGGAGAAGAGACACTGGCTCCAGGAGGAGGATGGGGACAATGCTCTGGGATTCTGAAGTAGCTGAGCCAAGCTCTCTCCACAGGTGACCCATCCCCTGCCCGCCGGGAAGGGGTGAAGAAGAAGGCAGCTGAGTACCTGAAGCGAGCAGAAGAGATCCTGCACTTGCACGTGTCCCAGTTGCCACCCTGAGGACATGTGGCCCTCCCAGGGACTGCAGCTCCGCACTGCCAGCCTTCTCCTGATCCCAGGGCCTGACCCCACCTCCTGGTCTTGTAACTCCAGGGCCCATTTCTGTATGTAACTGGACCAAGAATGAAGAAAGTAATGACTTCTCAGCTGTCTGCCTGCCCACCTTCTTGGAATCAGGGACCCATGCCTCTGATCCTGTCTGTCCCTATCTTGATGTGGCAGCAGCACTCCAGCCACTAACCTATCAGTTACCAGCTGAAAACTTAGGTCTGTAAGCTGCAGTCTGCAGTCCAGATCTGGCTCACTGCCTTCTTTTGTAAGACCCATGAGCTTGGGGCCAGGGAGATGGCTCAGTGGAATAAGTGCTTCCCTGGCAAGCACAAAGGCCTGAGTTCAATCCCCAGTTCCGCCAAAAAAAAAAAAAAAAAAAGACCCATGAGCTAGAATGTTTTTTACATTTCTTAATGGTTGGGAAAGAAAGAACACGCTGTGACAGGTGAAATTTTAAATATGTATAAATAAAAATTGGTCAGAATATAACCAGGTTCATTTGCATATTGTCTGGCTGCATGCTACCAAAGTTCAGTAGTTGAGACCTGCAAATCCCAAAACGTTTTAAACCTGGCTCTGCAGAAACAATTTATTGACCTCTGATCTAGAAAGAATCTTGGGGCCTGGGAGATGGCTCAGTAGAATAAGCACTTCCCTGGCAAGCATAAGGGCATGAGTTCAATCCCCGGTTCCGCAAAAAAAAAAAAAAAAAAAAAGGTATCTTCAGGGCCCCAGTATGGGATGGTGGGCTAATGAGCCAGTTTTTTGGTTGAGAAAGATGAGAAGCATAAACCAGGCATGCACCAGTACTCGAGACTGAGTCGGGAAGATCACAAATTTAAGCCCAGTCTGGACAATTTGGCAAGAGTCCATAAAAATAAAAGCACTGGGGAGAAAAGGCCTTGAGTTCAAATCTCCATACTGCCATACACACAAAACAGTGCGAACAAGAGGGAAAACAAAACAGGTGTACAAATCTAGGAGGTTGGACGAATTCTAGATAGAGGGGCATAAAGCAAGCTTGGCCGGGAAGGCGTGGCCTGTCATTGCCCCGCCCCTCACTTAGTGATTGGTTGTGGGTGGAACTACAAACCGACGCCCCAAGGATGGCCTAGGTCTACAATTTTTAACTGCGGTGCATTATGGGGAACGTAATGTCCGCTGAGCTCGCGGAACAGCAGGGGTGTGGCCGACTACGCCGCTTTGCATCTCGGGAGTTCAGCTCACCAGCTCTTGGTAAGAGGGAAGCGGGACCGTTGGAGGCCCAGGCGTGAAGACTCGCCCAGCTGGGCTGACCCTGCCCCTCCTCTCTTGCGAGAGCGGTGGGTCTGGGAAAACTGGGCGTCAGGCTGCAGCCCTCCCGGAGATGCTGAGCGCCCACCGTCTTTCCGCAGCCCACCCATGCCCGGCTGTGAACTGCCCCAGGGCATCTGCCCGGATATGTGCCCGGCTGCCGAGCGCGCCGAGCGCGAAAGGGAGCGCCGCCTGCACCGCTTCGAGGTGGTGCCCGGGTGCTGCGGGGGCCCGCAGCGCGCCGACCCGCAGCGCGCCGTGAAGGAGTACCGCCGGCGGGCCGCCGGCAAGCCCCCGCCCCCGCCCAGCCAGCTGCGTCCGCCCTCAGTGCTTCTGGCCACCGTGCGCTACTTGGCCGGACAGGTAGTTGACAGCGTCGGCGCGTCTCGCGCGGAGGTGGCCAGCTTCGTGGCGGACCGCTTGCGCGCGGTGAGGCTGGACCTGGCCCTGCAGGGCGCTGGTGACGCGGAGGCGGCTGTAGTTCTGGAGACGGCGCTAGCCACGCTTCTGGCCGTGGTGGCACAGCTCGGGCCGGACGGGGCGCCCGGGCAGGTGGATGCGGTGCTGCTGCAGACCCAGGTGCAGGAGAGCTTCGGTTCTCTGCGGCGCTGCTACGCGCAGAGCGGAGGCCCTCACCCCCGCCAGGCCACCTTCCAGGGTCTCTTTCTGCTCTATAACTTGGGTGAGTCGGGTCCTTGCATGTAGGGTTGGGGAGCCATCCATGAAAACAGTGGAGGCAGAGGACCGAAAAAGCTTTCAAAGTTTCACCATTCCCTGGGCGTGTGGCACATTATATGTAAATTCACCACTCTGGGAAGCTGAGGCCAGAGGATCTCAAGTTCAAGGCTGGTGCAGGTAATTTAGTAATTTAGTGAGACCCCGCCTCAAAAGGACTGGGGACATAGTTTAATGTGAAGGCTGTGGGGACCTTTCCTCAAAAGGACTGGGGATGTAGTTTAATGTGAAGTCTGTGGGTTTAATTCCCAGTACCAAAACAAACACCTCACCCTCACCATTTAGGGGCTGGTGATGTTGTTCAGCAGCACATTTTTGTTTTCTTTTTTCTTGTATTTATTTATTTATTTGGTAGAAGTTCTCTACAAGGTTTGGACTCGTAGTGATCCTCCTGTCTCAGCCTCCGCAGCGCCAGTTTTGGTGGCCTGAGTAGCCTACGGCCTACAGTACCAGGGATCAAACCAGTACTGTGGATTGAACCTGGGTCCTTGCTCTTGCCAGGCGGGCGCTTAGACTTCGGAACTATCTCCCCATCAGCAGCACAACAAAAAGTGAGGGAAAGGGGGGAAAAAAATACCATTTGCTCCCTCCCGGAAAAATCAATGCTCCAAATCCATCGAGATCCCACTTGAGACTTCAGCCGTGTCTTTTCCCAATTCTAGGCTTGTTTTTCTTTTTCTTTTCTTTAATTTTGTATATTTGATACAGGGTCTCACTATGTAGCTCCGGCTCACAGTGATCCTCCTGTTTCAGCCTCCCCAGAGCTGGGATTACAGGCATTGGCCACCATACTGGGTCTTGGTAGCTAGCAGGGCATGTGGTGCTGGGGATCAAATCTGGTCCGCGTGCTTGCCTAGGCAGGCACTTAGGCCTTGGGTTTTAAATAATATTGGAGGGGGCAAGGTTAAAAAAAAAAAAAAAAGTGGCCTAGGGCCTGGGGCTTTAGTTCAGTAGTGTAGCACCCACCTGGCAATTGTGAGATCTTGATTTTAGTTTCAGGTACCAAAAAAGAAAATGTTGACCTAAATAGCAATTTTCAAACTTTTTGCTTTTTGAGACAAGGGACACTTATGTAGTTTAGGCTGGCTTTGAGTTCAGTGTAACCCAGGTTGGCTCAAATTCATCACAGTGCCCAACTAGTAAATTCTATTTGTCATAAAATGCTGATTTCACAGCTCACTATTGGGTCAAAAGCCTCAGTTTACAAAGTGACCCAAGGTTACAGTGTCAGATTCCTGCAAAGGATGCTCAAGTAGAGTCTTCAAGATATGCCCTTAAAGGATTTAAGCCCTGGGGGGAAAAAAAATGCCCTTGTAGGGCCAGAGAGGCTCAGTGGCTTAAGCGCCTGCCTGGCAAGCACAAGGTCCTGAGTTTGATCCCTGGCACACACACACACACAAAAGTGGCCTTCCCCAGCAGACAGGGTAAAGTGTGTCAGAGCCAGCTTCCAAGCTGGGTGCAGAGCAGCAGAGGCAGTAGGCAACTCAAACCTCCGGCATCCTCAAGCCAGCTTCCCATCCCCGCAGGCTCCACAGAAGCCCTGCAAGAGATCCTGCAGCTGCCTGCCACCCTGCGTGCCTGCCCAGCCCTACGCACGGCGCTTGCTGTGGATTCCGCCTTCCGGGAGGGCAATACTGCCCGCCTGTTCCGCCTGCTCCGGACCCTGCCCTACCTGCAGAGCTGTGCTGTGCAGGGCCATGTGGGCCATGCCCGTCGCCTCGCCCTTGCCCGCCTTGCTCGTGCGCTGAGCACCTCCAAGGGGCAGACTTTGCCTCTAGGCTTCATGGTCCATCTGCTGGCCCTGGATGGGCTCCATGAAGCTCGAGACCTGTGCCAGGCCCATGGGCTGCTCTTGGATGGAGAAGAGAGGGTTGTGTTCCTGAGGGGTCACTATGCTGAGGAAGCGCTGCCGCCTGTGGGGACCTGCCATGTGTTAGTGGGGAGTAAGCTCCAGGGGCGCACCCTGGAGGAGGTGGTCATGACCGAGGAACAGGATGAGGTGGTACACAGATCGGTGACCCCCACATGTGGAAGATGTACCTCTTCTAGGGGGCTGGATCAGAGCAATTAGGTTTCTATTTTCATGATACCCAGGTAATAAAAGAAACTTGTTTTATAGGGACAAATCAGTAGATTTTGTTTTACTTGGGGGGCATAGAAGGGAGATGAGATACCAGACATGAAGAGAAGAGAAAGCAGACTTGTCATGGCCCTCCCACCCTGCTGGTGCCTGAGGAGAGGACATGGTAGTCCAAATTGGCATCTAGGGCTGACATTGTGCATTCCATCTTACCCACCACCCCATCAGAAGTTCATTGTCTTTCCAATTCCCACCACCATCTGTCCACTCATCTGGCACTGGGTACTTTTCAGGTATGCATAGATGGTAGAACCCCCAACTATTGCCTCTGAAGCTTGAGAGGGTACCATGGTTGTGTTCACCCCTGGCCTCAGGGGAAACACCCCATAAAAACAGGTGGGAGAGAGGACAAAAGGTTGGGGTCAGAGGTCATCCACAGGTCTCAGGGTGGCTGCTGCACCCTCCAGGGCTGCCACCACAATGCTGAGCTGCCTGTGTACCTCGGCCCATTCTTCAGATCCGATATTGGTGTTGGTGGCCCTGGAGCAGGCATTGGCCAGGCCAGGGAATGTGGCCACAGAGCCTGTCCGGGGTGCCCAGAGCACATGGCTGATGAGAAAAGGGGCAGGATGAGGGTCAGGGTGGGGCTCAGCCTGAGACACCACAAATGCCATGGCCAGCCAGGCACAAAAGCCCATTTCACCTGTCTAACAGTGGGACTTACAGCAGAGGTGCTGGAAGGACAGGCTGTATTCCCAGCTGAGACCAGTGTGCCTCCCCTCCACGAGCCTCACCCTTGTCTCTGCTTCAGCAGCTGGATTGTGCTCTAAAGCATCATACCTCATATACTCCCTTAGGCAAGTAGCCACTGTCCAGCCTTGCATTGGAACTTTGGGACAGACTCACCTGTAGTAGTGTTCCTCAGGGAAGGCACGTGGGTTCAGGAAGGCCCGTTCCAAGAGCATCAGCTGGTCATTGACCATTCGGACCTGCAGGGGGCTGGGTGAGCAGCACCTCCTAGTCACCACAGCAGCCTATAGCACCTGGCTGTGCCCTCCCTGACACCTCCCCACTGCTGTGCTTACTCAGGGCTGCCCTTCTGCAGGTCTGATATGCGCTGGCCCAAGCCTGTGGCTGCTGCCTCAAACTTCTCCACTGCAGTCACCAGAGGCCCTGAGGGGAACACCCACCACCTTAGCCCTGGCAGTGCAGGGCTCCCAGGCCTCGTGTATGGGGAAGTCTTTTTTTTTTTTTTTTTTTTTGAGGGGGAGTCTTTACCCAGGCTGATGCTGTGCTGCTCCAAGAGGGCCCCAAGGTCTTGCTGGGCAGCCTTCAGGAAGCTTTGAAGGGTTTCACTGTAGTCACTGACTTTGAGGGGCAGGAAGAAGCTGTCACTGAGCCGAAGAAGCACACTTCCTGCCATCCGGGCCACAGCTTGGTGGCTGCTGAAGTCTGCCCAGAAGACAAAAAGGCCAGCACTCAGTTTGCAGCCTGTCCTCCTAGAGCAGTGTCAGGATGACCCTTGTCCTCTCCTCACCAGGGTCTACAAACTTCTCCACGTATTCCAAGGTGTCAAAGGCTGTGTGGTAGGTGGGGTAGATACGGGCTGAGGTCTTGCTCTGAGAAAACAAAGCACAGAAGCGATAGGTTTGGGGTGGGAGGTGGAACATGTGCCCACAGTGAGCCATCATCAAGTGTGTAGACATCATCCCCCTGAGACCTTGGCACATCATGAGGGGGTTTCTAGAATTCCTATCTTACAGAGGAGGAAACAGGCTTAGATTAGCTTGCCTGCTAACACACAGCTAAATAAGATGACTGGGTTGGGTACCTTTGTGTAAGAAGAAAGTGAAACTTTGAAGACAGATAGGGGACTTTAATCCCAGTTCTTTGGCTAAGAAGCAGTGTGACCACAAGGGAGAGAAAGAGATTAGGGGAGCAGCAAATAGAGACACCAGCTCATTGCACCCCATGCCAGTACCCAAATCTGCCTAATTTCACACAGATTTAATAAATGCTGAGCTACAATTCCGTTCCCCTATACACACACCATATTTTAAGATCTTAGTGTTTGTTGTAGCCAGTATCATCCTGCAACACTTGATTGGCGGGTTTTTCATCCCTAATAGTCCTAATAGTCTGTAACACAGTAGCACATCTTATCAGTCTGATCTCTCAGAGCAAGACCTCAGCCTCTGTGTGATGAAGTAGCAGAAGGGTGTGAACACATGATCAGAGAGGTTGGGAAACCTGGCCTAGGTAACACGGCTACTGAGACAGAAGTAGGTCCCAGTCAATGCTAGAGCAGCCCGCAGGATTGGAGGGGTCTGCACAGGGCACTGGGGCTGCCCACTTACCCGGTCATAGGTGTAGGCAATGTCCATGGAGGAGATGCCCAGAAAGTGGACGAAGGGTGCATAGTCGCTGCCAGCACCTAGTGTGCCCATACTGAAGAAGGAAAAGAGGTGACACTGAGGGGCGCAAGGTTGACCCACCTGGCAAAGAGGGGGCACTGGCTGGGTTCTGATCTTACCTGGGGATCAGGCCATACACTGGGCTGGTGCGATTGGTGTACTGGATCCAGTTGTCGTAGATACTGAGACCACTGGGGCCTGGTGAGCTGATCTGGCCCAGAAAGGAATCTGATCTCAGGGCTGACCCCTCTCCAATCCCAACAGCAAGACCGAAACCACTGGGTCTCACCTGAGTCCCCAGGCTCCAGATCTCTTGTGGCCAGTAGGTCTCACAGGTGGCCTTGGCCTTCCCCATCCCATATAGCCCCACCTCACTCCTCAGCCCCACCCAGCCCATATAGTCTCAGCCCAGCCCTGTGCACCTCTTTGGCTGCAGAGAAAATGACATTCTGGACAGGGGGCGTCCCCTGCCCCCTCAGGGTAGCATTGGCTGTGGGAGGAACAGAGAAAGAGTTGAACCGAGCCCCTTCTTTATTCCCGGCCCCAGCCTAGCCTGGCCCAGTGCCCACCCCTACCGAACACGGAGATGTCCACGTTGATGTACGCCACCATGCGCTCCTGCAGCTTGCTGAAGAACTCCTGCGGCCGGCCGGGGCGAGGACACCTCAGTTCAGCGCTGCCCTGCCCAGAATTCCCTTTCCAACCCCCGACCCTGTGAAGCTCACTCACCTCTGTGAATTCCGTAGAGCCAATGAGCCCAAACTCCTCTGCCCCCCAACTGGCGAACACGATGGATCTGCGGGGACGCCAGGTGCCTGGTGCAAGGGCATAAAGACTTGGAGGGCAGCGTCCCCCCTCCATTCTTGGTGGCTTAGGGGAAAGGTTAAGTGCATGGGGAGGCATGGGAGGAGAACAGCTGGGAACAGTGGAGCAGTGACAGGAGGGCTTGGCACCTCTTCAGTCACTCTGTCCTGGAGGCTCTGTTACCCTTCCAGCCTCCTCTCTGTGACAATCACCCCAAAACCAAACTCACTGGGCTAGGGGTCTCTTCTGCCAGAACACCCACACCCACCCACCCCACACACACATGTGCATATGCACTAGGCATGATCTGGAAGACTTCTCAACCATCCTTCTTCCACCAGCCCATAGGACATTGGCTGAGGATGCACAGTGCTTCCCTAAAGCTTAGATGCCCTTGACTCAATCCTCACAGTGAAGTTTCTTTTCTTTTTTTGCGGAGCTGGGGATTGAATTTAGGCCCTTGCACTTGCGAGGCAAGCGCTTATTCAACTGAGCTATCTCCCCAGCCCCAGTGATGTTTCTATTGATAGCTGAAGAAACTGAGCCACAAAGGAGTAAAGTGACTCCACTGTGGCTGGTGGGCAGAGGTCACAGCTGGAAGGCAGCAGAGTGGATCCCACACGGGCGTCCACAGCATCCTGTGCCCTGTGCCACCCGCAGTCTGCGCCTACACTGTGGTGGGCCACATTTTCCTCACCAACCCCCATGGTGCCACATGCTCCCGGGTTTGCTCCCAGCTGGTCCCTTTAATCACTCACCCTTTTGTTTGCAATGAAAATTTTTAAAGTATAACAGGATTGATCATATACTTGCAATTACAAATCCCCACATGTTTGGGCCAAAAATGCATAATCTGAATCTAATCAGACACATGAAGGAACATGTCAAAATGTCAGGCTTGTGAAAGACAAAGAACAGCTACGGAACTATTACACATGAAGGCAAGGAAAGCACACAGTGTCACCTCCCCCACACACTAGATCTTAGACCAGAAGATTCTTTTGCTGTAAAGATCATATTGAGACATTGACAAAAATCATTAATTTTCTTTTTTTTTTTTTTTTTGTCAAGTAACAAGCATTTATA